CTCTAAAACCGAAAATAATATTATTTTTGTGCTTAAATAGATTTTTTTGACAGAAATTCTTTGAGAATTTGTGAATTGTCATTTATTAGAAAAATTGCAACAGAAACCTTTTTAGAGGTCTGTTCTTTCCATGCTCTGCAAAAGCCTATTCTGTCTACAATTTTCATTTACAATCTTTTTTTTGTTCGTTTTGATATTCCTCCTTGAACAGAACTTTTTTCTCAAAATTTGTTGAAAGTAAGTTGATTGAAAAGTTTCTGTAGTTTTATCTCAGTGCAATGCGTTTATTTCAATCTTAAACTGATTTTTCTTGACTTCCCCCATCTTATCTAAGTGTCTCCTATGACTTTAGATGCCATCTGCATGTGAATCAGACAACATTTTGTGGAACCTTCACAAAGACGTTGACCTTTTGCTCTTAAGAGGGCAACGTGTGTTTTGTGTGAAGTAGTGATTAAGGTAAAGAAGGAATTGTTTGGCAAGGAGAAAAAAATTAGCAGAGATAATACCTAAATGAAACAGGTAAAATAAAGAAGAAAACACAGTATGCCTATAATTTTCTTATTCGAATGTTTCTTGGCAGCGTTTCCTAATATATATCTATTATGTAGTTTTGTTCAAAACTACCATAGAATCTAATCATTTCCAATTACAATATCCTTCGAGACTATTGTCGTAGAACTGTTGTTGTAAAAAGCAACAGGAAGTTTCATACAAGACACATCTTGCGAAATTCTCGAACTTTGAATTATGTGAGTGTTTCACTTAATTTCCCAAACTAATCCCTTACAGTCAAAAATAGGTATTTGACATTTTTGCATCACTAATCTATTCACATAAACGTGATAATCATAGTGGATTCAAAGGAATTGGTTTCTTGAGCTTCATCATCAAGAGAGAAGCTATTTTGGAGGATTTGAAATGTAAAATATAGAGATTTTAATGTACAAGAATCCAAGTTATGCCTTTTTCCAATAAAAAATCCTTTTAAATTCGTTCCATGACCCCGTAAAAGATAACTTGCCAGTCTTTTTATCACTAACTCCGGCTTTGCTATTGTCGTTCTAGAAGTAGATAAGTAGATTATTTACATTGCTATTTTAAAGAAAAAACAACAAGGAATGCCTTCAACTAGCATCCAAAATGCATAAATAGTTAAGAAAAACTTTTGCTTATTTTAATTGTGATCGCATAAATTAAGAAGGGGGGTCGTCCATAACATTCTTTGAACAGCAATTTTTCCGTGG